TCGCAGCGGCCCGTCCCGCCGGCCGACCTATAATCCGCACGCCAAACGGCGTGCGGATTATAGGTCGGCCGGCGGGACGGGCCGCTGCGATAAGGCTGTCCTAAGGCTGCTGGCACCGCGTAAGGAAGAAAGAATTACGGTGACGTGGCTTTCCAAGGGCTCCCTCCCGGCGCACGGCCTGGCACGGCGGGATGGAGCAGCAGGCCGCCGGGAAAGGGTGAGGTGAAGGCTTAGAAACAAGGTTTTGGTACGCAAAATGGCTGTTCCCATCTTGCTGTGTCATGGCTCGTGTGGATTTTAAGGAGGCAGGTGTTTGCTACCGGGGAAGAAAAGGATCCTAAAGGATCTTTAGGGAGTATAGGGGAAGGGTCAGCAGAATATAATGTGACTAATACAACGATGTGACAAGCAGCTCTTAAAACTTCAACAGCTTCGCTTTAATTCTGTCCACAATCTGCCTTCCCCAGGCTTTCTTCAGATTTCCCAGCTAGCTGGGTAAGGTCTATTGCTACGTAGTCAGTTCTTAACAGCTTTCTGTCTGTCTTTTATTTCTGTCTAAGCTTCCAAAGGCTTTGAAAGCAAGCACACAAACAGAGACAGGACGGTCTGCTCAGGAGTCTCTGAACTCAGTGTTGTTGAGTGAGTATTTGAGATCTCCTGAAATCAAGTTGCCCTTCCAGCATCTGCCTACAGACGCCCGAAGGCCTTGGGTTGTTGGCAGTTATGGCTAGAGAAGGCTGTTCCTGGAGTCTTGCTTTTTTAAAAATCTTGTTCTGCTGTTCTTACGTCATTTGTAAGAGGAATCTTGTCTGTGTGTAGGCAGAGCCAAGCAGCTTTAATGCTGTAAAATGTTGGTGTAGTATTTGCCTGGTAAGGTGCATGTATTTCAGATCGAGTGCCACATTCCCATCTGTCTCCTACCACCTGGTGATCAAGCCTCCTGCTTCTCTGGTTGCCCACTCTTAGATCAACTGACCCCACAGTCTCTTCCAAAACTCACTTTTATGACAGAGGATTTGTCTAGGGAGGTGGTGAAGCAATGAATCCCACTCTTGGGTCTTAGTCTGGCTTTGTTGCTGAAGCTGGTATCCAGGTAGGACTGCTCGTGAAAGTTCTATTTTATTCTAACTGCAAAATAAAAATTAAAGAGGAAAAAAAAAAAAGCCCTGTACTAGTTTGAAAAGCTACAAAGCAGAAATAATAATTTATGCAATTCTTGCTTTCCTTCTTATTGTTCAGGTACGCTGTGGCCTCCCAACATGCTGGGCCTATTGTAAGTGCTGTAACCCCTCTGCTAGGTGCATGCTTTCTCTTTGTGTCTGTGTGGGTAAGGTTAGTTCAGGACATCGTGCCTGCTGGTGGTCTCTCTCCTTCTGCACTGGACGGTCTGCTTTGATCCCCTGGGTCGGGCCACCGAACACAGGAGGTTGGTAGTTAATCCTGGCTGGGCTCAGTTTGGTTGCTGCTGGTGAGCTAAGTTTTGTGTGTGTGATACCCCAGCGCTAACAGTGGCAGCCTCTGTTTTGGAGGAATCCGCGGGCTCTGCCAGCTGGCTGCCGAGGGGCGGCGGCGGGGCGGCTGAGGTCTCACTTGGGCCCGGCCACGTGCCTCTGCCCCATTGTCGAGGCTGGCGGTTTGGGGAACCGTCAGGCTGTTTGTCAAGGGCGAACAATGCCCTGTCTGTAGGGGATTGCGTTACCGTAAATAACGTTAGAATAGCATGAAAAATCCCTTTCAGGTCAACTCCCCCACAAGTCTTCTGGCTGGGCTATTAGCAGCTTCTCCTGCCCCCGCACGCCCAGCTGAATGGGCAGTGTATTTGGCCGATTTGGGTAATGCTATTCAGTTTTGATGAAAGCAGACAGCAGAGCTTTTACTGTCCAGAATCCTGTTCATGAGCAGGCTATTGCTAGAGCTGCAAAGGGCAAAAATGGATCAAGCTGCGTAATATCCTCTAGCTAAAGATTAGCTCCGGTGTCTACAAAGCCCTAAGGGGATAGTGCTCAAAATAATAGGGACATTTGAGAGCTTTCTTTACTGTGTTCTTGTCACCACTTCTTGGGATGGAGAACCCGGTGTGCAGATTATGTGATATCACCCTGATGAGGCTAGCATCTTGGTTAATCAGGACCGCTCCATTGAACAGTATGCACCGTATGGTGGCCAAAACACGTGCTTTTGACAAGAGGAAATGGCCTCAAGTTGCGCCAGGGGAGGTTTAGATTGGCTGCTAGGAAAAATTTCTTCACCGAAAGGGCAGTCAGGCATTGGAACAGGCTGCCCAGGGAAGTGGTTGAGTCCCCATCCCTGGAGGTGTTTAAAAGACAGGTAGATGTGGTGCGTAGGGACGTGGTTTAGTGGTGGACTTGGCAGTGCTAGGTTAAGGGTTGGACTTGATGATTTTAAAGGTCTTTTCCAACCTAAACAATGCTATGATTCTATGATTTTACACCGTGTCTGTGTGGTCAGCTGCAGACAGTCTGGCATTCCAACAGGGCCTGCTGACTTGAGCTGGGTCCTTCTGACAGTCTGGTGGCTTCCAGACAGGAGGTGGCTTGTATTGGTGGCTTGTGGCAGGAGGATGGCAACGCAGCTGCCTGTGCCTGACTGCGCAGGCATGCTTTCATCTGCTCGCTGCTTGAATACAGGTAGAGCTCTGAGCAGAAACTGCAGCGCAGGAGGAGAGCGGTGCTCCTCGTTCTCAGACGCTGACAAATACCATATGCTACAAGGGAAGCTACAACAAATCCCATAACAGACAATTATGGGATGATCTGTATGTAGAGGAAGCTTGTTCCTAAAGTCTTGCCTGCTATGGTTTATATCCTGAAGCATGAGGATCTATATACTTTATTATTTTTCCTGCCTAATGCAGCAACTCTCACTGTCCACATGAAGGTCTGCACCTGTTCCGAGTCCAGCAGGCTGCTGGCATCAGTGGTATCCTGTGGCAGGGAGTTAATTAGGTGTCCTAATAAGAAGAAAGAAGAGTGTTTCCGTAGAATAATTTTGGGTACATAGCCCTTTTGTGTGGTCTTTGTACAGGGAAATGAGGCTGTTTTTCTGTTATAAGACGGAGTAAAGGAGAATGTCTGACTTACCTTCTCCATACCACAAATTATTTTGTATACTTCTGTCTTATACACCTTTAAAATTATTCCGAAGCTTTTTAGTGTCTTCACCTCTAAGACTTTCAAATACCTGTAGTAACTTTAGCACTCATGCTTCTTCAGACATACCTGTTGAAGGGTAGAGTTGAGGAAAACTGGGAAGCATTCCAGTGGGAATGCACACTGTTGATTTTCATGCAGTATTGTAATGCCTTCGGTTTTTTTCCCCCCCCTCTCCATGGTCAGAGTATTTCAACTGGATGGAACTTTTAATTGAGCACAATGATTCTCAAGTCTGCGTCATGAAATGTGTGTCCTTTTTTTTTATTCTTTGTTGAAGCATTTTTGTAGACCTTCTACAGTTTTTGCCTATTCTTAGTAATTTCATAGACGTAGAGCAAGGCAGTCATTATTCTGTCTGTGTAGTCTGAATTGTCCTCTGAAGTGGGCACTTTTATGGATCTTGGCACCCAGACCTTGTATAACTCGGGGCCACACTGATGGTTCATTTCTAGAGGAATAGATATGCCATTCTCCATTCCATCTTCTGGGGAATGAGTCTTTTTTTGTCCCGTAAAGCTTCTCCGTATCTCTGTTGCTATGGGAATTTATGAATTTTGCTTGCAAATAGAACACAACGAGTAACAGTTCAGCTAGAGTTCCTAAATGTAGTCTCCATTCAGAGGTTATAGGAGGAAGAGGAATTGGTGTGGTTTGGGGGTTGGTTGGTTGGTTGGTTGTTTTTTGGTGGAGTTCTTTTTTTGTTTAATCTGAGAGTCAATAATTACCTTCGAGGCACTCTGACTTTGTCAGCTCCTGGAGTAGGGATGAGGAAGAGAGGAATTGATATAGTTGTGAGGAAGGAGGGAGGCTGTTGAAAGGAGAGTGCAGCAGCTCCAAAGGGGATGCTACGAGAACTCTTCCCGCATAGCACAGGCAGTGTGAGCCTGTGGCAGTGAAGCACTATGTCCCTCACTCCCGTTGTCTCTTTTACAGATAACTGACTCAGCTGGGCACATCCTGTATGCCAAGGAGGATGCCACTAAGGGCAAGTTTGCCTTCACCACAGAAGACTATGATATGTTTGAGGCCTGTTTTGAGAGCAAGCTTCCTGTGGGTAAGTGAAGTGAAAGGTCTGTTGGCTGCTTCTAGCTTCCAAACAAGTTTATGTAGATGTGTGGATTAGGGGTATAGGCAAAGTGATCCTGAGTGTGGTCCTCGGAGCACTGTTTGACTTCTAAAGCTGACCTTCAGGAGCTTGTGGGCAATCTCACTGCAGAATATCTGCTGTCGGTGTTGCATTTGAAGTTAAGTAATCCTCTGTGGTTGTCGTGTAGAGCGCTTGGGTTTCCTCTGAAAGGGAACACAGAGGGTGACCTCTATGTTCCTCCCGCAGAGGTTACCACAGCTGCAATAAGTGGCAGTACCGGGGAGCAAACTATACCTCTTTTGCCCTTTTCATGCTTCTCCCCATCTTGCAGTCGAGCCAGGACAGAGCAGGATGCCATCATCTCCAGGACCCTGTCTTTCTCCCCAGCTGACCATCTCTCCACATTTGGTGCAACATGGTCTCTCCACAATGTGTACTTGGCAGCAATCCTGCGTTAGGTTAGCAACCGTTTTCTGGGGTTGGGGTGTGTGTATAGAGAACGTGGCCTTGGTTTGCACCCGCAGCTGCTCTCTAAGTGGTCGATAAAGGGAAGGGGAAATGAGCAGGATGTCAGCCTTGCATTTGTGCTGCAGGGATGGTTGCCTAACGAGCGCCGAGGCTCGTTTCCTGTGAGTGTGACGCATGTGCTGCTTTGAGTGGCTGGGCTCAACTTCAGGACAGACGTGCTGAAAACAGCCAATACATGGGCTCCAGTCTCATTTGCGGTGGTGTGAGCGCGTGCAAGTTCGTAGGTGCTTGCATCTTTTCCACAGTCGCTGTCAGAGTTCTGCTTCCTGGACCTGGTTCTTCTTAGGTCTTATCTTAAAAGATCCCAGGCACTTCACAGGGCAGTTACTAGCAGCATTCCTCATACCTGTTGAAAGGCAGCCACTGTTTTGCTGTTCTGCTCCAAGTATAACATGCAAATAGTTTGCAAGTTGAAGAGAACTTTACAGAAAGAGAAGGCTATCTTTGCTGGGATTGGGAGGGATCTGGCTTGTAACATCTCTTCTATAGTATTTTACAGATAAGGCAGTGACCCCAAATGCTCAGGATTTTGCTTTTATTTCACTCCAAAGGTAGGGCTTCCAAACGCTCCTTAACACATCAAGACATGTAGGCACTAGTGACTCATCTGGGAGTCACTCATGCTATTTACTGTCCAACACCTGGGTATTTGGGAAGTCTCCAGACAGTCCCACAAATCCTTTCATAGCTTCCATGTGATCACCCACGGAAGTGGGAAAGGCTTCTTTCTTTAGTTGTGTCTAGACTCTTATTTCAGTGCTTGTGACCAGAGGTTTCTTGCTTAGACTGAGCCCCTTATAGCTCTTTTGATTGTAGCAAATGTTTGTTCCCTGGCTCCCTTGTATTGTTGCAAGTTTGGTTTAAAGCTTTCAGTACTGATGAGGATAAAATATTTCTAAATGCAGCTTCTACCTGATGACCAGTGGGGTGTCGAGGTGCCAAAAGCTAGAGCTGTTCAACTGAGCAGCTGGATCCTCTCTTCTGGAGGATTTCTCTTTAGGGGCCTCCAAGCTGTCCGTTTCTTTTTGGACCCAGGTGCCCCAAATTCAATGCTAAAGAGAGCTGCTGCATGGTGAACATCTCCAGATTTCCCACGCCTGTGCTGGAAATCAAGGACGTATTAAAGTAAGGTAGGTGGCACTGTGAGGCTTGATCATCTGCAGGACTTGGTTAAGGTACTGTGGAAGAAGTAACGACGTCACAAGGAAGTGCCTTGTTTCCTCCATAAGGTCAGCATGGAAATGGGGGAACTGACCAAGTGCTGTTTTATCCCCATGTTTCTCTTTAAAGGTTTGGGGTTTTTTTCACAGTCTCATCAAGTAAGTAGTCAGGACTTGTAGTGCAGCAGCCAAGGAGGATGTTGGTGGAGTACTGGAAGAGAAAAACTGTTGGTAGAGGAAGCCCAGAGCCGTTGGGACCTGAGAGGTCTAAGCAACTGGGATTTCTCAACCCTTAACCACAGAAATGAGGAAGAGGAAGTGAGAAGGAGATCCTATTTAGAAGGTCCACCTTATCAGAATGGAGGCATTCTTGGGGTGCTTCTTGGAGCTGTGGGTGTTCGCATGACAGGCTTTTTTCCCTCTTCCAGGGTAGAAGGGTCCTGTCTTCCTGACAAGTGCTCTGTTCCCAGGCACACTTACTCTTACACCTTGTGCTAATCTCTGAGGTGAAGAGCCTGGCCTGCACTACCTGCTCCCCTGTAGGGCTCTTCCTGTGTGCTAATCTTTACGTCTTTGCTCCTTCTGTAAACCATCTCTTCCTGGACTTTCTTAAGAGCATTATGGCTAACTTTTTCTGGAATTCCTGTGGGAAAATTTTTTGACATCCAGTTCAACCATCCTGTTTTTCCTCTGACTTTGCCAATTGGGAGCTCCCCTAATCTCCCAGGAAACAGTTCTGTGCTCATGTGAGATGACCTCTTGAAGACCTCCTGGGGGATGTAGGTATCAGTTTCATTCAAGATCTCTGGGACTTAACTGTTTTTCTCTTTGCTGCTGATCCAGTCTGCTCCGGCGAGCCCTGGCTGCTGGAGGAGCACGGAGTTACTGAGGATTTGATGAGTGTGAAGGGAGCTGCCTAGTGCCTTGGGCTCAGTAAACTTGTAGAAGAGCAGCTTGAGTTTTTCCAGGCCAGTCCCTGACAATGTTAACTTCTTGCAGAATGTCTGCTTTCCATCCCTTTGCACCCAGCAGCTCTAAGGTCTCTGCTTTCTTTTTGCCTCTTGGCAGCTTTCCCTTCCAGCCTGACAAATTAATCCTTCCAGTTCTGTTCTTCTGTTCACTGGCCTTTTTATCTTTCTCATCTCTTCCTGGAAGCTCCAGTTCTCCACCCAAGTTGCTGTAATTTAAAGAACTTTAAAAAAAAAACCTCTCACTGAACTGTGTGCTTTGAATTTTCTTCTGCAGCTGCTGTCGGCTGTCCTACCTGCCAGTCTCCATGCAAGCTGGTATATGTATGGCATAAGCAGTCAAAACTTGTGGATAGAGAAAGGAGCACTGGGTCGTTGTATACAACCTGTCTGTTAAACAGTGCTGGGATTTTAGTTTGTGTGTACAGTAACCGGTCTTCTATAAGAAAACCAAAAAATTCCATCCTAATACTAATTTATCCATTGGGCTCTTATGTAGCTGGGTTTGAATTTTGAGCTCCTGTATCCCTCAGGAAATTTAAGAAACAGTTTGTAGTTGATATAGACCGTCTTGTCAGTAGGTTATTCCATGTTCTGCTAACAGTAGAAGGTGGAGATGATTCTACTCTGGTGTTGAAGAGCTGTTCAATGGGTAGAGAGAAAATCTGGGGACGTTGTACTGAAGATCTAGAGTATCTTCCTAGCTATGACTGGAGTGACCCAGTGTAACCTGTGCATTGAATTTGTTTGTGGACTGAGGGAATGGCCACCTGGCAGCCTCCTGAGGCAAAGTGTGAGTATTGGACATGCTCCTGGATAAAGACACTGAAATTCATAGTATAAGTGAATTCAGACCTTGTGTTTTGCTGGCAGCCAGATGAGGACAACTGTATGCCCCGACATGCTGGGATTTGGGAATGTGTTATGTACAGACATTTCCCTTGTGGGTGGTATAGCCTGGAGAAGAGGAGGCTGAGGGAAGACCTTATCACTCTCTACAACTCCCTGAAAGGAGGTTGTAGTGAGGTGGGGGTCAGTCTGTTCTCCCAAGTAACAAGCGATAGGACAAGAGGAAACGGCCTCAAGTTGTGCCAGGGGAGGTTTAGGTTGGAAATTAGGAAAAATTTCTTCACTAAAAGGGTGGTCAGGCACTGGCACAGGCTGCGCAGGGGAGCGGGTGAGTCCCCATCCCTGGAGGTATTTAAAAGAAGAGTAGACGTGGTGCATAGGGCTGCCCAGGGAAGTGGTTGAGTCCCCATCCCTGGAGGTATTTAAAAGAAGAGTAGACGTGGTGCATAGGGACGTGGTTTAGTGGTGGACTTGGCAGTGCTAGGTTAAGGGTTGGACTTGATGATCTTAAAGGTCTTTTCCAACCTAAACGATTCTACGATTCTTCTATGATTCTATAGTGGAATATGATACTTGGGTCAGCTGATGTGCTGCATTCTTTAGGGTATCTTATATGCCTGTCCTATATATATATTTTTTTTTTTTCTCCTCTTGTGAATGTTCTCGGATGTGACAGTTTGTAGCAGTTAAAAGAAGCTATTAGCCATAGGTGTCGCTAGCTTGGGGGGTTACAGCCTTAAAAGATACCTAATGTGCTGTTGACTGCAGCCTTATTCTACTCGCTGTTTGTGTGGCTCCAGCTGGCAGTTCTCTGAAGTGGTGTTTTCCCAGCTTCAGAAACCTCTTGCCATCTTGGGGTTTGCATTAGCAGTGTGGGTCTTGGACATCTGAGATGTTCTTTCCATGAAAAGATACATTGGTAAAGGGATTACCTTCATTTTTGCAGATACTGCAGCATGCAAGGGTCAGTAGTCCCCATATGCCATATTGCTCAATTAGAGCAGTTTACCTTCTGCTCCTTTGAATGTAAAATCATTTACAACCCCAGTAACCTTGATGAATTGCCGGTGCACTTCCTGCTAGGAGGAACGTGGGCTCCCCAGTTGAATATTTGTCCCTCTGGGTGACTTGTCTTTCGCCAGGCTGTCTCATAGCAGCTGGTATTCATCTTCTAATCCTCTGCAGTTTTTACAGTGATTTGCATCCTACACACACTTAGCGCTTTTAGTTACAGCTTGTTCTCATTATCTTTGGGAGGCTTTCCTTCAGCCAGGATTTATTGTGAAGTCTCTGTATTTTTAGGCTGGACTGTGCTGCCTCCGCAGTTAGCTGCAGACATGGAGGGAGGGGAGGGATGTTGTGAGTTCTTCCTCAGTGGTGGAGAGAGCTGGTGATTTCCTGGCAGGCTGAATGTTTCGCACAATGAATCCTTTCATTATGCTTCCAGGAACAGGGAGGATGCCGGACCAGCTCGTGATTCTGGATATGAAGCATGGAGTTGAAGCAAAGAACTACGAGGAGGTATGTCCCCTGGCTGCCTGCACTGCAGGCTCCCCTTTCCCAGCACTCACGTGATGCCATTTGTAGATCTGGGGCTCATGATGGGAAGCTGTTTTCCCAGCGGTGATGAAAGTCTGTCTGCAACCTACAATTCCAGTGAAGCTTTGTTTGTTAGGGGAGGAAAAAAAAGACAAACGTCAACTAAAATTAATTCTGTACTCTGGGAACTGGAGCCTAATGTGTGAATTTCTTTGCTAGGACAGCGTGACCCAGCTTCTGGGCATAGGTATTAGAGGCAACAAGAGACTGAGATGTGAAGTTTCCCCAACCCCAGCAGCAGAGGGCATTTTAGGTTAATATCAGATCCTCCTAAAGGTGAAGTTGCATTGTTACTGTTCTTACCTTCCTGACTGTAAGATGTATTGGCTCAACAGCCCTGAAATGGCACTTGTGCATTTCTAAAAACTAGCAGTGTATCGATGTAAAGGTGTTTGGCAGAGTAGTAGCTGGTGTGAAATGGGTATTTGGTTTGAAGGCATGACATTGTGAACAGGCATAAAGCCTAAATGTTTTCATCTTAGGAGGACATAGCTTTCTTGGACCCAAGAGCCATCTGTGTGGAATAGCAGTTGCTTTGTGGCTGGGACAGTCCTGGCTGGTTTGGATGCTGAACTTTGACGGCTGCTACTGTGCTTTTGGCTCGCTAGAATTTGAGGTCAATCACCCCCCAGCACAGAGCCTGTGCCTGAGAAAATGAAAGTTGTTGGTGGAGAAAGGGTCCTGCAAATGAGTGCTGCGTCCACTGCGCACAACAGCGTGGGAGATGCCTTAGGGAGGAGAGTGGGTAGCAGAGGAGGCTGTGTATGGTGCCAATTAGAAAATGAATGAATTTCTGAGATGAGCATGCTGGAGTTTTTATATCCTTTTGAGCTTTGGGCTAGTTGGTCCTGCGTGGCTTAAGTCAGTCTAGAGCACATCCTACGTGGAGAATAAAAAAAGCGCTTGGCGTCAGAGAAGACCACAGCAATCATTGGGCCAGCTGTCTGGCAATCAGCTAGTGAAGGTTTACAAGATGTTGAAATCTTATGGGATGACCCCTCAGAGCATAACTGGGAGGATTATGGTGACTACACTTACAGAATGTCTTTAAATATAATCCCACAGCATACTCTGAGTTATGTTACTGTAGTGCTACTTAGAAACATTGTCCCTGTGCAGAAAGGTTCTCTTATGCCCGTATATCTACGTACTCACTGGTTGTACTGATAAAACTGTCTTCGAATAAGTACCCGTTATGCTCATCAGTGTAGTTAGATTGATGGAAAAGGTCCATGGAGAAACACAGGATAAGAAGAATTTAGACTTGCAGTCCTACCTGATACCAAATGCAGATCTTGGCAGTGCTGGCAAGCATCCTTGACTTGTGAGGACCTCTCAGACTGGCAGACTGTGCTGAGCCTTGTTGAGCAGTGCGTCTGAAAAGGACTCAAACTGGTTTACTGTTTCTACAGCTGCTACGGATGTTTACCCACACTGCTTTGCAGTGTGTTTTCTTTTTTTCATCCTCTCTCTCCCCAGGTTGCTGTAGTATTTGTGCGTTTTAACTTGACAGGTTGCTGTAAGGCCTTGGAAGGGAGGACTGTTGCTTGGGTTTCTCTCCTGGAATTGCTGCCTTTTTGAGTCTTTTGCTTGTGATGTTCATCTGCTGTAAGGTACCAGTGACCTGTCTTCTTCCCCAGTTCTTGTTGAACTGCTGCAAGGGGACTTGATGCAGGGAGTTGAACGAGGGTCACTGATACTGTCCTGCTTGTGCATGGATATATGCATTGAGAGGAGGGGTGATGTCCAAGTCTGGCTTCATAAGGTTTCATAGATGCAGACATTCTTGGAGCAAAGCAACTGGGAGAGTGAGCTGGGTTAGGAAACCTAACTACATGGCAGTGTCGTCCCTTAGTTCTCTGGGGTAGGGAGGAATAACTTTCTTCATTCAATAAGTAGAAATGAAGGTAGGGAAAAGCAAAAAGACTTTTCAGAGGGCACCAAGAAGGCTTGGCGGTCTAGGTTCCTTTCCAGATCAGCTACTCCTTGCCAATTCTTGGCTATGGTGTGAGGTGCTGGAGTGTGTCCAAAGAAGGCTAACGAAGTTGGTGAAGGGTCTAGAGCACAAGTCTTATGAGGAGCGGCTGAGGGAACTGGGGTTGTTTAGTCTGGAGAAGAGGAGGCTGAGGGGAGACCTTATCGCTCTCTACGACTCCCTGAAAGGAGGTTGTAGCGAGGTGGGGGTGGGTCTCCTCTCCCTTGTAACGAGTGATAGGACAAGAGGAAATGGCCTCAAGCTGTGCCAGGGGAAGTTTAGGTTGGATATTAGGAAAAACTTCTTCACCGAAAGGGTAGTCAGGCATTGGAACAGGCTGCCCAGGGAAGTGGTTGCGTCTCCATCCCTGGAGGTATTTAAAAGAAGGGTAGACGTGGTGCTCATGGTGGACTTGGCAGTGCCAGGTTAACGGTTGGACTCGATGATCTTAAGGGTCTTTTCCAGCCTTAACGATTCTATGATTATTTCTATGCTAGGAAGAGAGTTAGGCTTTAATGAATCTTTGAGTGGCCCCTGAGAAGTTCAGTGGAGTTGTTGTCTCAGTTGTTCTGGTGGTCCAGATGTTCCTTCTAGGAACCTTCCACCATTCCAGATGCTTGGTGGGCTTTTTACAAAATTGCTTGGAGCAGCTGTGCATCTTGGCTTCACTAAGGATGAAAGAGGTTCCAGGATGTGCGTCTTGGAGTACATGCAGGACTGAAAGTAGCTATCAGATGTTTATAGCTGTACCTGTTAAGAACAGCTGAAGGGATGCAGGGTGGAGCAGACAAGCCTTGTTTTTTCCCAGTGGAACCTTTGTAGCCCTCTGTGAATGAGGAAAAATGCCCTTCAGGAAGATAATGGAGCCAGTCAACGCAGTGTTAGCTCCTCAGTAGAGCTGCCTGAGACCTTGTGTGTGTTACAGACCTGCTGCTCTAGCTGTGTCAGCAGAGTCTGGGCCATAGGCACACTTATGCTGGTGCCAGTTTTTCAGCAAAGCTCTGCTGGCAGATATGTGTCCAGGGTTTTGTCAGTACAACCTATTGGCTAGAAAGCGGGAGGGGTTTAACCTCCCGTTTCCTACCCCTCCTCACAAACAGACTCTGAATTGACACTGCTGTGCTGGCAGAGCTATAATATACAGCTCGCCTCAGCAATAAAAATCCTCAGATGACTGCTTGAGGGCCTGCTGCTTGCCAGGATACACATGTCATGGGAGACCCTTCAGTGAAATGGCTGATTAGCTAGCACTGGCCTGGTCACGAGCATCTCTTCAGATGGGCTCCGACGCCCAGGCAGCTGCCTCTGGAAGCAGTGTTTTGGGGATGCCTACACCCTGGGTGCCCTGTTGCCTGCCTGTCGGCACCTGGACTGCTGAGGGATGCCATCCTGCAGCTCATGTCTGAGTAATCCTGTGTGGCGGTGAGACCGGCGGTGAGCTGCAGGTGCTCCATGTGTTTTCTGTAGCGCATCTTTCTTCTGCTGCATTACTCCGGGACATGGCATCTGGCCTTCATGGTGGGGGGTGTCACTCGTTGGTAATAGTGACAACTTCTATGCAAGAACCAGAGTTACCCAAACCCTACGCTGTAGCAGCAGCAGGAATTGCAGTTAGCTTCCTTTGAGTAATGCCCTTGTCACAGCTTTTACATAATGTATAGTCAGGTTACAGCCAGGACTGGGGCAGGGACTCGTGTTTACACATTCAGCTTTAAATAGTTGCTGTTGTGGACTGTGCTTTCTAATTGAATTTCCTGTGGATTTTTCTTTTTGGATACAAGTCTGTGACTTGTAGGACTGTGGGTTGCGTGTTCTGCCCAAAAATGACATCCTATAAAACCAGCTTTTACAAGGGAAGTGTATTTTTCTTTTTCTTTCAAACTGGCTCAAAGGCAGCCGGTCCTGTAAGTATTCCAGCAGCGTCATCTGGTGGCGTGAGGCAGGTGGAGCACTTCGTAGCTGCGTGGTCCCTACCAAGAGCATATGATGCCCTTATCAGTCTAAGTGATAAAAGCCCTGAGCTCTTGTGGGTGTAATCAATCCACTACTACTGGGAATCGGGCTGCCCGGGCTCTCTGGGGTGTGTGGCAACAGCTAGCAAAGTGAGCCTCAGTGCTAATATCCTGTGTGCCTATAGAACAATATCGTATGCGTATGTAAGTTAGTCACCTATATCTCAGTCTGTGGCTTCTGTTCACTGGAGGTTTAGTCGTGTGGCAAGCTCTTCTACCCACTCCTCGGAAACCAACTGTGAATAAGCTAACATTAGGCCGAATAAGGAAGAAATGTGCTTGTATGCATACTGTGCTCCTCCGTTGTGTAGGAGGAGTAGTAGGAAAGTGTGTTTCAGAGAACAGGTGGGAGAAGTGATAGCATTTTATGCAACGGTAGTTTCTGGCTTGTAGAGGTGTTTCCCTAGGGGAAGGATGCCCCAGATCTGTAGTATGTGAGGAGGAGTGGTTCAAACTGGCAGTCAAAGCCCACGTGGGAGCTTTTGGTTTTGGCTCAGTGATTGCCTGACTCTTCTGTTTTCCAGATTGCTAAAGTGGAGAAGTTGAAGCCTCTGGAAGTAGAATTGAGGCGCTTGGAAGATCTTTCAGAGTCCATCGTTAACGACTTTGCCTATATGAAGAAACGAGAAGAGGAGATGAGGGACACGAATGGTAAGAGACTGTGTGCTCCTTCAGAGGGATGGAGCTCTAAGACCCCTTACTTCTGCTGAATGTGTTATTAGGACAGCATTTGGAGATCAAGCAATTATAGCGCACTCTGCCTGTTCTGTTCCTAGTAAGGGAAACCTGCTGATATTTCTCTCTGCCTGAAGCAGTCACTGAGTCTTATGTGTTCCATCTCTAGAAATAATTTCTTTCTGTCTCCATTCCTAATGTGAATTATTCTGTACCGTTTAATGTTGCTCATTAATGGCAGTTTCGCCTTGTTCCCTCTCATCCTTCTTGTTGTTCCCTCTGCTTTTATTCTCAAGTACTGCTGGTGCTTGGGTGCCCTTGCCTTCATGCTTTATGATATCTTGCCTTCAAAGTTTTGCATGGGTAGGGAGAGAAAATCCTGGAAACTTTGCCCTCTTGAGGTGCATCCTGTGATGTCAAACTCCTGTGCAATGGTTTGTTGTCTGTTTCAGAGTCGACAAACACCCGGGTTCTGTACTTCAGCATTTTCTCCATGTGCTGTCTCATCGGACTGGCCACTTGGCAGGTTTTCTACCTGCGTCGCTTCTTCAAGGCTAAGAAACTGATTGAGTAAAGGAGCAAGTCCTCCTCCCCCTCCTCTCACACCCAGCTGGACACCGCTGGGACCCAGCCATGGCCCCCTGGAGCCATCTCACAGATGATACCCACTGACTGGAGCTTTTCTGCAGATACTTGGACCCTAAAGGAGGAGGGGAGCCTAAACATTGGAGGCAGCGGGGGACTTGTGAAATCCTGTTGGATGTTGTGGGTGGGGGAGGTTGTGATGGGTTTGGGGATTCCTGGGGCAGCGATTAAATAAAAAAAAAGATGTTTCCATGACAGCTGCAGCAAGTTTTTGCGCTGTCTGTTCTCCGTTTATGATCTTGGCTTGATGATGTCTCCCATCTGTCTGTGACTTTAGTGTTACTCTGAGCCACTTGACCCTGCTGAGCATTTTAGGTGCCATGCAGCTAGCACCAGGGCAGGGCAGGGGATTCCCTGTTCTGACCAGCTGGGATCTAAGCCTCGTGCAAACGGAGGTCAGTGCAAAGCAATAGGTTTCATCATTTCAGCAGGGCCTGAGGATAGAGGGAGGTCCAAAGTTTGGTCCCTGTCGTGGACCTCTGTGTTTCTCCCTGTGGGAGCTGGTGTCTTTGTGCTGACAGATCAGGGCACTTGAGCATACGGTGGTTCAGCCTGGAGGAAGGGGAGCCTTGGAAGGAGGGCTTGGGAGCGTGTTTGAGCTTGGAAAGGAGAAGCCTGCTTTGCTCAAATAAGCTGTCCAGCCTTGGTCCTGCCCTTGCTCCACGTGTTTGTCTTGGATTTGCCTCTTTTGTTCTGAAATGATGCAGCAGCTTTCCTGAAAGCCTTGGTCAGGGATGGCCTCTTGTGCAGACAGGAGGCCTCGGTCAGATACAGTCACAGAGCAAATAGGAGCAGGTTATGCTAGGGAACTTGGTCTTACATTGAGCAGGAGACTTTTCTCATCTAACAGTGTAGTGTTTATCCAGCAGGCAGGTGGCTGAATCTCATTTTCTGAGACCTCAAAGCAAGGTGGGCTGCTGCTCATGTGAAGCATGGGGGCCTGTGCCCTGCACTGGGGTCTGAGGGTGCAAGGGTGCTTTGCAGGTTGGCAGAGGAGTTGGAAGAATGTGGATGAACTCAAAAACAGCAGTGCAGGATAGGAATAGGCTAATTCCAAATCTGGGGGAGCCTGAACTGTGTCCTCAACAGAACTGTTATTCTCCTATGCGGTACTACAGAGAGAGCAAGCAGCTTCTCGTCGTTTCTCAGCCATTCAGATGGCATGATGTTAAATAAGCCAGGCTGGTTAACTTCCTGGACTTACCTGCTGCAGTTTTTCGGCAGTGATCAAAATTCTTTCACCTTGTCTGCATTCCTTCAGAGTAAATGGTTCAGCAGCACAGCATTCTGTTGTGCTGTGCCTAGGCACTTCTGGCTAGGGAAGGGGTTGTCGTGCCCCATGGTTTTATAATTTCTGACCTGAATCTGATCTATTGCTGGGAAGGAAACAGTTGTTCAGGGTGAGGCAATGGGAAAGAGGATGAAAAGATGACCTCCTGTCATCTGAATACCTTAGTATTTTGCCTCCCCTTTGCCATTGCCAAGTTCCTGCAGTTGTTAGTTCCACTGGCAAGTGCTTAGATTGCTTTTAATTTGTTTCTTTTTTGACAAAGCCATATTAAGAACCCAAGTCCAGTTCTCTACCCTTGCATCCATTTTATCCTTGTACGTTTTTGAAAGCTGTTACAGTGCAGAACAGCAGTGATGCCACAGAACTGAATTACAGAAGTCATTTGAAGGTAGTTTTAGGTCCTACAGTTTGAAGCCTGTAGATCTGTTTTTGCTTTTGTTTTTATGTAACTTGAAAAGACAGTACAAGAAAGGGGCTTTTCCAGTCTTGTCTGTTTTGATATCCTCTCCCTGTCCTTATCCGAGTACAAAGATATCTTTATCTTAAAAATGGTGGTGAGGCCTTAAGTTCCTGAGGTGACTGTTACACTATCATCATTCTGGTGTTGCATTTTGATCTTCACTGTACTGATAAGGGTTACTGGGGAGCAGGTGTGAGGGACTGGTGTGGATTTACTTGTAATGACTGGTTGGGGGATTTTTGTCAACTTTCTCAAATAAAATTTCTTTGGGGAAAAACAACCCACCTCAGTTGTCCGTGTGAATCTTTGTCCTCTTTGTGCACATTCCTACTGACTGCTGTTTCCCACAAGCTGACCTGTCGCCAGAAGCAGCAAGTACATAGATGCTCGCAAGCCTTTGGGTTTCTCCAGTAACGGTTAATTCTAAAGAATTTGAGAATTCCAGGCTTGGGAAAGGTACCGGCTGCACAGGCTTCTCTGCAGAGTGGGACCAGCACAGCAAGCGAAGTGTCTCTAATACAGGTTGCCATTTGTTGCCCTTCTTCCCCCCGCTTCCTAATTATACCCCTCTATGTGGAGGAATTTTGCAGCTGATAGCGAGACAGGACTGGTGCTGTAGAGTGCAAGGTCCAGTTTTTCACTGTCACCTCCCATGTAGGACATTAAGACAAATGGAATTGCTTTCAGTTTTGTACTTAGAGGACATTTGAATTGTTGCAAAGATGAGTTGGTCCTGTGTGAGTGGCAGATGCTTACTGAAGAGAGTGGTCAGGTATTTACCGAACTGCTGTCAGATCTCTGCTGAGCCTGTGAGCCTTCTGTCACGCAGTAGCCAGGTGAGATATGCCACATCTGGGGGCACGTAAGCGCTGCATAACTAGTTAGTATTGTCAGGGAGAATTTCAAGAAGGGAAATTCCCAGATCTTTGGATAAGGTTAGCCTCTGCAAGTTCTTGCCCGGATGAATATTTGAGTATGTGAAATCGTACAGCTGTTCTCATGCGGTAGGTTGGCAGTGGGTCTGGGCTGTTTTACAGCACTGCGGATGCAGAGCTGGTGTCTTCATTCTATTTTACTTCTGGGAAATAGGCTAAAGTTGAGCTGTTGCAGATACTTGGGTTGGAGCCCATCTTTCTGTGTGACAGATGCATCGCTGGTAAATCTATAATTGCCTGTAGCAAACTGCATCAGACTTTTCCAGCCTCTTCCACCCACTTGTCAATGTGACTAACGATTTAATTATCACACTACTTAACACAGCGCGTGAACATTCCTAAGTAAGGTATATCTTCGCGTATTCCCCCTCCTGCTATGCCAACGTAGGCTGCACCCTGTACAAAGCGCCTGCTGCAGCTGCTGCGTGCCTGCACGCGGGAGGGGATGAGCATTTTGCACACTGTTGCTCATTTCTTACAAGCTGCTCAGGTATGTGAGAAATAACCCAAGTGTACAACACCTGTGTTGTCTCCTAACTGGCAGATCAGGCACTTTCAACTCAAACTAGTTTGGCAACTGGTCCGTGAGATCATTAGGGGATTCCTGCCTGTGCATTTCATGGGGTCCTACAGCAGAGGTTTGGGAAAGTAGTATGGCCTCTCTTCACCCCTGCCAGTTCATACGATGTATTTCTGTCTCTCTCATATCCATAGTTGTGTTCCTCCGCTGTACTTGTCTTTCAGATGCCTGAGATGGCCTTGCCCTTAGTGAACAAAGTCTCTGGGAAACGAACTTCCCATACGTTGAAGGTGGCTTGTTGGGGAGGAGAGGGCGCAAACGTGACATGGATACATCTTTCACAGGAGAAAAAAAGTTGGGTCTGGTGAAGACTGCAGGAGTTCAGGGTTGGTAGTTTTGTCTGCTGCCCCTTCTCTGCCTGAAAAAATTGTCAGGCTTGTGCTTGTTCTGTTTTTCCTCCCCCAAGCCAGCGCTGGCGGTGGTGCGATGGCTCTGGCAGGCCTGCCTTTCTCTGAGGAAGGTGGAAGGAGCAGAGGATTTAGAAAAACTGCCTGTTGGTATTTCTTGGACCTTTTTGTAAACCTGAAACAGGTGAGCCCAAGCTTTTGCTGCAGCACTAAAATACTTGTATTTGCTCAGCAGTATTTGTAGGAAGCTTGTTTTGCTTTGCACTGGAAGTCTGTTGCACTGGCAGGAGTTGGGAGTTGCTCTGTTTCAGCTGCTGCTGAAGTGGCTTAAACTTTCTGTAAAATGGGAGTAGTTGATGCCAGATTACTCCTTCTGTTGCCAGAGGTCCATGTGGTTTACCACCTTAAACTCAATGCATTAGCCTCTGCACTTCCAGCTTGCTGACACAGCCTGCCAGAGGACCTGTGGTCTCCAGGTGTCCATCCCAGTGATCATAGCTATGAGGATCATTTGTTTAGCTCACGTTTGGAGAAAGCCGCTGTGTCCTGAAGGACCCATCTGACTTCTTCTATTTCAGTTTTTGCAATAAAATGTACATGTTGAATAACTTCCTTTGGGGGCACGTTACTCAAAAAAGGCAACGACAGAACCATGCTGACGTTGCTCAGTCTCACTTCTGTGGTTTCCTCTGTCACTTAGTTTCCTTTCATAGCTGATATTCCTGAGGTACCTTTTCCCTGAGCTTTTAAATTGGTTGCATTATGTGATCTTTGCATAAGCTGCACCAGGAGGTCCTGTTGGAGTTGTAATGAGGTGAACTTGTTTTTTCTTGGTTATACGGGGGATGCTGTTCCTACAGCCACCACGCAGCTGAGGCAGGCAGAGGGGAGGGCGTGCTTGTGTTTTCCAGCTAAATCCCATTGCAGCTGTGGTCTGATCTGCTGCAGACCATTACGCTCAAGGGTTTTCTCACCCATACCAGCTGCTTGGTCTTTTATTTTCCCCTGAATATACTTTGTTTGGATAATCTTCCTCCAGGTATAAGATACTTGCTATACATATGTAACTGGAATCTCATGGTGGTGTCTTTAATTATAATTAACCATGTAGGTGCCTTGTCATTTCTTCCTTCTCAGTGAGGGCTGCTCTTTACTTGTGTTAGTAACATAATCAATGTACTGTCTTGACTCTGAAAAACATGAACGAGATCTTTGAACTGAGGCTGATACTTGCCGTGATTTGGTTTAAATGACAGTGTTATCCAAACTCATCCTTCAGTAATGATTTTGCAGGAGGCAGAATGGCACATTGCCTCTAGGTGGTGTGATTTCTTTCAATGCTTGAGCAAAAAATTCAGTGTGAAGTCGGGTGTGTATTCTTCAGTCATATTCCAACAAACCTGAGTGGGCAGCGGCTGTTACTTCCCTGAGGGGCATCTTGCTGTGAGAATTACTGCCCTGCTTTTTAAAGCATAGTAAAGGCAATGCTGTGGGGTGGCTAAACCTGATTGTAGCTACTACTGTTATCATTTTATGGAAGAATTTCTATGATACTGTAGATAATAATGGGCAAGAGAACTCTACTTTTCAAACTGGAAAAATTAAGACTGACTTTTTCAAGTAGTCTTCTGGTTTTCTACAACTGTTCCAGATTCCTTAATCCCATTTCTGTGAGATTTTGTCATCTAGATTTTTTTTTTAATTACTGTGATTTGCCAGATAACATTTTGCCAGGTACTCCCTTTGCAGTGGAGGGAGTGAATGATCCTTAGCAGAACATGTCTGAGCTTTTTCATGCGTTCCTGCAAGCTCCTTTATTCTAAAACTGATGTGCCGTCTTTGCTGCTTGGAAGGACGATGTCTTTGTATGGAAATAGTTACGATGCACAGCAAATAAACTTCGATGGATAAGTTACTTTTAAAATAGGTGTGCATAATGCTGAACGGCTCTTTAGCCCTCAACACACTGCAAGGAACCCCGCTCGTCGTTTTGTGCTCTGAGCAATAAAGCATTTTCCCAAGGTAGCAGGATAAGAGCTAACCAGGCTTTGTCGTCCCTGGTTTCAGGGCTTCGTGCTTCAGCTCCTGATGCCTTCTCTAAGTGTAGGATCACCTGTCCTGAAGTGAATGTTCCCCACCGTTCAACTCCGCTTTCCCATGTGTGGTTGTGACTGCCGAACTTTGAAAACAAAATACTGAAATGATGGTGGCGTGCGTTATCTCTGAAGAAAATAAATCACCTAAGGTTAAGGTTACTAGTACTTCCTTATGACAGAGAAGTTGTTATTGCAGCTCCAGATCTAAAATATTATTTATGAAGCTTTCAGTTTATTTCAGAGAAACGTCGTGAGTGGTGCGGTACGGGACACTGCTACGTTTTACTAATGGTGCCAAATGTGTGTCCGCCGCAGATACCCTCATCTTCCCAGCAGATCTTTGAGCTTGCGATACAGTTGTGGTGTTCATCGGTGTGTTCGCCCTTGTAGCAATTATTTTTCAATAATGTATATTATGGGGAAGAAAAAGAAAAGTTAACGTGTGCAATAAGAAACAGTAACGACTTTTTTTTTTTTATATATAAATCAGTTACTTCAGACAGTTTTTTATTACCAAGACACAATTTGGAAGCCTTTTAGGAAAGCAACCTTGAACTCCTGACTTCTTGGGAAGCACAGTGACTTCCCTGCCAAGCGCCGAGGCAACTTCTGCTTCGCACAGGTTTTATCAGGC